ATATATATATATATATATATATCTCTCTCCCAGCAGAAGGTGGGGGGGGGGGGTAAAAAAACAATATATATATATATATCTATATATATATATATATATATATATATATATATATATATATATATATATATATATATATATATATATATATATATATATATATATATATATATATATATATATATATATATATATATAAAATTTAAAATCTAAAATTTAAGTATTAAGATCTATAACTATCAGTACCACCCAAATTAAAAGTCCTTGTGTCATTTTTCAGGAAGCTTATTAATTTTATCAAAACAACAGTGGACTCTGTGGCATCAGTTTACACAACCATAAGCTACTGTAAAGAAGAAGGCTACTTCTGTAGGTGTTGTATGCCATGATTCCATTTTAGATTCTTATTGTACACATTACTGTATGTGGGGTATTTGAAAGAGACTGGATGTGACTAACAAGCACACTTTACATGCTAGTAATCTAAGGGGGAAAAAACGTGTCATTGTGATAGAGGAAAATAAGAAAAAATATAGCCACAAAAAGGCAAAACACTGAATACTGTAAAGCAAACACAGTAAACAAATGATTAATCTACAGCTCCTCAGTCTGTTTTGCCACTGATTCTCATCTACACCCAAACGGGTTTATCACTGGTTGATCTACATTCTCTTTCATACTGCCGTGTATGTCAAAGTTCACTAGCACATTTAATACAACTTCACATTAACTGAGAGGATAATGCTTTGAAAAAATACTTAATTGATGTGATTAACCATTTCAATGCATTCACTGACCACACTAATGAGCAGGTGTTTTGACTGTTACACAGAGAACTAAACAATAACAAAATGTGCGTTACTGTATAGCTTTCTTTAGTAATTTATACATTTTGGAGTATATCTTTATACCTTTACTTTTGCTTAAAGTCCGCTTAAAATCTAAATTTACTAAGTTTATTTTGTTAGCTCATTCATCAAATTTCCTTCAGCTTAGTCTCTGATTTATAAAAGGCTGCCACAGCGGAATGAACTGCCAACTATTCCAGCATATGTTTTATGCAGCGGATGCCCTTCCAGCCGCAACCCAGAACTGGGAAACGCGCATGAGGTGAATAATAAATCTGTGCAAATTAATCCACTGAAAACTAGATTCTAAAAATATCTTCAATGAAAATCAGAGCATTTGCTTCCGTATTTGGAGTGGCGGTCTTTCTGTTTACATTAATCCGAATGCTTCCATAGCAAACGTATAATAATAATACTCTTTCTTACCTTGACACGCTTTTGCAGGTTATCGTCTAGGTTTTGCAGTTTGTACTAATTGTTTTGAGAAATGCATTAACTGTTGTACAGAAATGCACTAGTGTTGTGAGAAACGCATCAAAGCTACTGAGAAAAACTGTAAAAACACTATTGGTTGGGTATAGGGAAATGGATGGGCTGGTCAATTGGTGAGTTTAAAAACACTATTAAGCTGGGGTTACACTGGGCTTTTCCTGCCATGGACTTCCATTCATATGCACACGAATGCGTCAGACCGGAAACGCGGGGTCATGCGTTAAGTTTCGCAGGTTGCTGCGTTGCAATGTTCAAGCTTGGTGAATTCTGACCTGCGAATTCTCAACACTTGACTGCGTGAGACCAATCGAGGATCAAAACAAGACATCTCTGAAAAGTTATTTAAAACATGGAGCAATCACTGGCTTTTTAAAATGTCTAAAAACCTTGTTTAATCCCGCCCCTTTTAGCAGCGCCACACGACAGAATTTTGCAAGCTCAAACTCTAATGTGACCGCAGCTTAAGTTGGCTATAAGGAAGTGGGTGGGTGGGTCAATCTGTGCATTTAAAAACACTATTGGTTGGGTATAGTGAAATGGATGGGCGGGTCAATCGGTGCATTTAAAAACACTATTGGTTGGGTATAGGAAACTGGGTGCATTTAAAAACACCATTGGTTGGGTATAGGGACGTGGGCTGGTGGGTGGGTGTGTTAATCGGTGCATTTAGAAACACTATTGGTTGGGTATAGGGAAATAAATGGGCGGGTCAATCGGTGCGTTTAAAAACACTGCTGGTTGGGTATAGGGAAATGGATGGACGAGTCAATCGGTGCATTTAAAAACACTATTGGTTGGGTATAGGAAAGTGGGTGGGTTGGTTAATCGGTGCATTTAAAAACACTATTGGTTGGGTATAGGGACGTGGGTGGTTGGATTAATCCGTGCATTTAAAAACAATATTGGTTGGTTATAGCTAAGTGGGTGGGTCAATCGGTGCATTTAAAAACACTATTGGTTGGATATAGGGAAATAAATGGGCGGGTCAATCTGTGCATTTAAAAACACCATTGGTTGGGTATAGGGAAGTGGATGGGCGGGTTAATCGGTGCATTTAAAAACACTATTGGTTGGGTATAGGAAAGTGGGTGGGTTGGTTAATCGGTGCATTTAAAAACACTATTGGTTGGGTATAGGGACGTGGGTGGGTTGGTTAATGGGTGCATTTAAAAACACTATTGGTTGGGTATAGGGACGTGGGTGGGTTGGTTAATGGGTGCATTTAAAAACACTATTGGTTGGGTATAGGGACGTGGGTGGGTGGGTTAATCGGTGCATTTAAAAACACTATTGGTTGGTTATAGCGAAGTGGGTGGTTCAGTCGGTGCATTTAAAAACACTATGGCATGCGTATAGGGAAGTGGATGGGTCAGTGGGTCAATCGGTGCATTTAAAAACACTATTGGTTGGGTGTAGGGAAGTGGGTGGATGGGTCAATCGGTTCTTTTTCAAACACTATCGGTTAAGTATAGGGAAGGAGAAGGGTGGTTCAGTCAAACAGTGAGTGAGTCAGTCAGTCAGTCGACAGCAGCCTCTAGTGGATTTACGCAAGAACAGCAGGTGCAAATGGCATTTACGAGAAAAATTTGTGATCTCAAAAAGCGTACACAGCAGCTTCTGGTGGATTTGCAAAACAAAAACTGCAAAAAAAAAAAAGTACCTCATTGGAGGTATTTGGCACTCTCCAGAACTGTATATTGGGGTGCGTTTTCAGAATGAGCCTGGGTTAAAAAAAAAAAAAAAAACAGCATAAATATTCCTACTGTCACAGTTTGGAGATGATCTCTGAGTATTCTCTGCCCTTGCATAACATCGTCTTGTTCTGACATGTCAGTCTTGCTGCTTCTTTTTCCAAGATGATGCAACGTTTAGTTCAACCATAAAAAACTATTGTAACAAGTTTACAGAAATCCCTTGTGTACGAACAAATAAATGAGGAAATACAGGAGAAATACAGTCACCTTTCTCCTTTGAATTTAAAAATGCCTTTGCTAAATATACTATCTCGTCTTAAAGAGGAAACCGGGAATTTCTCTTAATACTCACCATATTCATCACTCAGGATTTATATAACATTTCTTCAGAAAGTTAACATTGTTTGTCAGCTACTTTAATACCTTATCTGACTGGCTGTGCATCTCCAGCTGTCCTTTCAGTGTTGAAATGAGGGTGTGGTGAAAGAAGGAAGGTAATTAGCAGGAAAACTTCTCTTCCAGCTTTATTTGAGCACATCTGCTGCCATCAGGATCACAACCTACAAAAACAGGTAAGAAAACATAGTAACTAGTGAACCAAACTCTACTTATTTTGTTGTGCTATGGAGGACAGTGATTTTAACATAATTCTGATAACGCTGACATGGTTGTCATTAGAGTTTCTTGTGTTTTATGTGAGGTTTAAGCTTTAGCAGAACCTCTTACTTTGTATGTAATTGTCATATTATGAGAAAATCATAACACTATAAGAGGCTGAAACATGCTAAAACTACTTTATGTCCAGTTTGGGTTGAGTAGAAATTGCGCCATCGAAAATTCATCCTTTAACTTTAGTGTAAATGACTTAAATTTATTCATGTGTATGAAAGAGTGATTATAATCCAGATCCAGTCTGACTGCATTTTCCTATTAGCAAGTACATGCAGGCTTAATTCAAGCAGGTTTTTGCCTAAAGGCATTCTTGAAAATATCTGTGTGTCAACAGATTTGTGCTAATGACTGTTTTAGCTGTAAAATCAAGTTTTTCTACAACATATCTGAAGGTTAGCGTTCATCTTTATGATCTGGTAGAGGAATGTCTGGTAGTTTAAAGAAACACTGTAGGCTTTTATGGCTTTATGACTATTTCGAAAAATATGTTCACGAGTTAACATGAGCAGAGGATTTCCTGTAAACACACCTGATGATGGCCCATTTTAGTAGCAGGGGGTGGAAAGAGTACTGAAAATTATACTTAAAAAAAGTACCATTACTTGGAAAAAAATATATAGTACAAGAGAAAATAAATCTGTTCTAATTACACTGAATGCTCGAGTGGTTCTTACGTTGTGAATGTTATTCCACCTCATATCCTGCAAATAAAAAAAAATAATTAACTTACATTAGTGTCCTTACATTTCTTTCTAAATCAAAATTACAGTATTTGACAGTCATGGACCATAAATAAATAAAATAAAAAAATGTGTGACTAATTTAACTTGAGAACACATTTTATTGATAGAATATATGAAAATGTAACATTCTGTAGTGCATTCTTCATCTTCTCATCAGTGACGTCAGTCTAAACTGTCTCTTGGTTGTTGTGTGTAATGATTTTGTGCCTTTTTGGACACTTTTAATGCTTTCACACTCACTGAAAAAAATGATTAATTGAATTTACTATTATTTTAGGTAAGTGGTTACAAACTATTTATATGGGCTGTATTTAGACAAATTAGGTTAAACATTATTATATTGCATTTGTTTGTCTAAATTCAGCCCATATGAATTGTTTGCAACCACTTACCTTAAACAATTTAGTAAGCCAATTTAGTAATTTAGTGATGGATGGATGGATGGAAGGAGGGATGGATGGATACAATATTTTAGGAGGATGGATAGATGGATATATGTATAGATGGATGGATGGATACAATATTCAGATGTATGGATGGAAAGATGGATATATGTATGGATGGATGGGTATATGAATGGATGGATGGATAGATGGATGTGATATTTAGATGGATGGATGGATGGATGGATGGATGGATGGATGGATGGATGGATGGATGGATGGATGGATGGATGGATTGATGGATACAATATTTAGATGTATAGATGGATGGATGGATGGAAAGATGGATATATGTATGGATGGATGGGTATATGAATGGATGGATGGATATGATATTTAGATAGATGGATGGATGGATGGATGGATGGATGGATGGATGGATGGATGGATGGATGGATGGATGGATGGATGGATGGATGGATGGATGGATGGGTATGATATTTAGATAGATGGATGGATGGATGGATGGATGGATGGATGGATGGGTATGATATTTAGATGGATGGATGGATGGATGGATGGATGGATGGATGGATGCGATATTTGGATGGATGGATGGATGGATGGATGGAAGGATGGATGGATGGATGGATGGATGATGATAGATGGATATATGTATGAATAGATGATATATGTATGTATGTATGTATGTATGGATGGATGGATGGATGTATGGATGGATGGATGGATGTATGGATGGATGGATGGATGGATGGATGGATGGATGGATGGATGGATGGATGGATACAATACAATATTTAGAGGGATGGATGGAAGGATGGATGGATACAATATTTAGATGAATGGATAGATGAATGGATAGATGGATACGATACAATATTTAGATGGATGAATGGATGCAATATTTAGATAGATGAATGGATAAATTGATATATGTATAGATGGATGGATGGATAGATGGATGGATGGATAGATGAATGGATGGATACAATGTTCAGATGTATGGATGGATGGATGGAAAGATGGATATATGTATGGATGGATGGGTATTTAGATGAATAGATAGATGGATGAATGGATACGATATTTAAATGGATGGATGGATGGAAGGATGGATGGATGGATGAATAAATGAATGGATGGATGGATGGATAGACAGACAGACAGACGGACATATGTTTTCATTAGTAGGATTGTTTGTTAGTAGGATGTACAGTTTGTCATTCTGCTGTGAACTCCTCAATAGATGGCGTACTCCACACAAACACTAGCTGCAGGCTGCTTTGGGAAAATATACAAGGAGAAATATGGAGACGCATGGGCTGCTCTCAAGAGAGTTCCTCTGGGCCTCATCAGCAAACAACAGCTGGATAGAGAATGCAGAGTATATCAGTAAGTGCACATGTCTAATAATTTTCTGATTTAACTGCTGAGCTTAAACACATGAAAAAAAAAATTTCTTCCTCACACCAGTAATGCTCGGCATCCAAACATATTGAAGCTTCTCGGCGATCCTTGGCTGAAAGACTCCAAGTGGAACATTCCTTTAGAGTTCATCTTTGGGGAAGACCTTGAGACGACCATCTTCAAAGTACAGCTTTCTAAAATACAGGTAAACATGACAGAAACTGCTGAATAGGGCTGCCAAAAGTTTTGAGTTCGGCTTTTAAAAAAAAATTATTTAAATTTAGTACGATTTGTACCGTATTCGATACTTTTGACATCCTTACTGCTGAACAATGATTGTTCTGTCTTCCTTTACTCACCCATGGGTCAAACCTGAATTCGATGTTGTCTAGACAATCTGCCCAATTATGCAATATGATGCTTTTTTGGGACTGACAATGCATAAATCTGAAAACAGGTTACCAAGTAGAAGTATTTTAGAAAATACCGTCAATGTCGTGTCCATGTAAACACCTGAAAATGAGTCTTTAAAAACAATAATGTCTTATGCATGCATGGTCATGATTAGGGGAGTGTAGATTAAAGGCAAACCTGAGCAAACAGAATAATGACCTGGCATGCGTAATGCAGCATTTTTAACAAGCTTCACAGAAGTGTAAATGTGAATCGTTTTGCAAATGTTGTGCAAATCTGAAAAGCAAGTGTTAGGCTACATGAAGAGCTAGGCTTGAGTGTCAGAAGTTAGAGGAAAGAAGATTTAAGTGCTTGTTAGTACCAGATGAGCTGAGTGATCTACTCCACACACAGCCATTTGAAGAGGTTACAAAGAATAGTCCGGAAATATATAGTTGCTAGCCTTGTCCTTGTCTTTATGACCACAGTGATCCCATGTTGTGATGACTTCTTTCAGCAGGATAATGTGCTTTGTCACTGAAATCATCTCAAACCGGTGTCAAACATCCTCCACGATGACTAGATCTCAATCCAACAGAGCTCCTTTGAGATGTGTTGGGACAGGAGATTCTCAGCATGAAGACAGCAAATACGCAGTAACTGTGTGATGCATCTGGCCATAACGGAGCAAAATCTGTAAGGAATGTTTCTAGCTGTCAGAGTATAAAGGAGACCCAAGTTCAAGAGGATTTATTTAAAAGAAGTGAATCAAAAGCTCTGTTCTTAAAATGCAGTAGGAGAAAGTCACTCAAAAAATATAATAGAGAACACAGGCAGTCAGTGATCAGCCCTCCTCTGGACGATGATGGACTGGTCAAACGAAAAGACCCTCTAGGTTAAACAATCGAAAATGTAGAAACAGACCTCAGGAAGCCGAGATGGTGGAGAGACTTCACTCAAGTGTGGACTGTGGGTAGAGCAGAGGTAAGCCAGTGCACAGATGATCGAACAACAAGTGGGTAGAGACAAAACAGGACTGGACGAGATGAAATACAAGAGGTATAATCTTCTGATCAGGAAGGACAGGTAACACGTGTAACTCTCAGACACAAGAACAATTATCAAGCACAGAACGAGGGAGAAGGGGAGACTAAATAGCCAAATAATCAGGAAGAACTGGTGAGAGTAACGGGGACGGGGAAACAAGGGAATTGATAACAGGTGAAACTGCATACAAATACCTAGACACAAGAGGAAGACAGAGAAAACACACACAAAAAAACAGACACTAGCACTTTCCTGAATCAATGCCAACAAAAAATATGGTGGTTTTGAAGTTGAACCACCTCAGGATGGATGGATAGTGAAGGTGAAATGAAGAGTCATAGAACCCTAAATAATGTTGTCTGACTGTACAGAGCACTGAGGCTAAATTCCTGCTCCCTCCCATCTCGTACATGCTTATTACATGCCACTGCAGCCATCTATTGGTCACAGTAGAACACTACACTCATGAGGATGAGTAATTGATGACAACATTTGTATTTTTGACTCCTAATATCTTAAACAACTGAATAAAAAAATGATTATGTATTAATGGACAAAATGAACCAAAGTGAGCAATATTCTCATGTGTGTGTGTGTGTGTGTGTCTCTTTCAGCTGACTCCGGCTGTGAGAGCTACAATCATCACTGGTATGTGTGAAGGTTTGCTTCATCTGCATAGTAAAGACATCGTCCATCAGGACCTCAAACCTGATAACGTCATGGTGAGCGAGATACAAATGTTCCTCATGGGGCCAAGAATTACTAAAGAAGTAGTTTTAGCTCAGTGGCTACCTTTTCATTGCAATTCTCATTCATTGGTTTGTTGATGAACGTTTGGGGATACAATTTTTGCATCGTTGACATGTAAGAACCACTTTGGGTTCCTTACATAATCTTTTAGTGAATATTTCTTAAAAATAACCATGGCTGCTTCCGAAACCGCCTACTTAGTAGGTACTGCATTTGAATTTAAACATACTACTCGGCAGTTAGAAAAGTGCGTTCTATACAGTATAAATGTGAGCAGCATAAATGGAATTCGGACGTACTACATCCGGCATTTTGTCATCATCATGTGACCTACTGTACCTGCGTCAGTTGCGTCGCTTCACTCCCATTTATGAATTCTCTCATGGGGCATCATGGGATAGTGCAGCGTGCATTGGGATGCGCACTTCAGAATCTCCCGGAAGTAGTAAGTCATCCGGGTACCTCTCGCATACTGATTTTCGAATTCTATGAATTCCGACGTACTACTCGGCTCGCATACTGTTTTTAGCTTACTGTATAGTATTGAAGTATGCGGTTTCAGACGCAGCCTATTTCTTTCTTAAAGTTCACATGAACTGAAAGTTGCTGAGACTTTTATCTCAGTACATTGAAGTATTTCCAACTGAAACAAAATACTATGTAGGTGGCGGAGCTTTATTTTTGTGATGCTCATAGCAAACTAACAATATCAGGAATGTGGTTAAAGTCCACATGAACCAGAAACTGCAACCGTTTTTTTTTTTTGTTTTTTAGGGACCGAGCACCGAACGGTGCAAGGCCCTATTGGAATTGCTCCGTTTCTTATTATTCTTCTTCTTCCGCGGAATGAATCGCGGTTTTGAGGGGCTAAACATGCCCGAAAACTCACGCAACTTTGCACACGCCTCAGAAGTGGCGAAAATTTACGTTTGTTATGGGTCTCGGAAAGGGGCGTGGCAAAATGACTCGACAGCGCCACCTAGAAAATTTAAACGGACGAGCCCCCGACCCACGAATCACGCACATGCACGAAAATTGGCACACACCTCAAACATGCCAAAACATACAAAAAAGTCTCTTGGAGCCATATCTCAAACCCAACAGGAAGTCGGATATTTTTGACTTCCTGCAGCGAAAAAGTAGCGATTTTGCCATTTCCAGGCGTTGTATTTTAACGAACTCCTCCTAGGGATTTTATCCAATCAACACCAAAATTTGGTTTTGTCATCTAAAGGCCTTGGCGATGTTAAATTGCGAAGCTTTAGAGTTTTCATCGATGGGCGTGTCCGTGGCGGCCTCGCAAACTTTGACGATTCGCCACGAAACAGGAAGTCATTATAACTCAGGCATGCATTATACGATCTGCCTCAAAAATGACACGCTTGATAAGAGTCCTGACCTGAACACGTTTACATGCCGATATCCAGATACAGTTATAGCGCCACCTGCTGGCCACAGGAAATGACATGATTTACAGTGTAACAAACTCCTCTCACAAATTTTATCGTATCAGCACCAAATTTGGGTGGTGTCATCTGAAAGCTCTAGCGATGATATATTGTGAAGATCTAGAGTTTTCGCAGAGGGGCGTGTCCGTGGCGGCATGACAAGCCTCAACGCTTCGCCATGGAACAGGAAGTCCTTATAACGCAACCACACAATGTCCGATCAGCCTGAACCTTCACAAGGTTGATAAAAGTCCTCTCCTGAACACATCTTCATAACAATATTGAAGTGGGCGTGGCTAAATGACTCGACAGCGCCACCTACCAAACTTAATCGGACGAGCCCCTGATATACGAATCACGCACATGCACGAAAATTGGCACACACCTCAAACACGCCAAAACATACAAAAAAGTCTCTTGGAGCCATATCTCAAACCCAACAGGAAGTCGGTTTTTTTTAACTTCCTGCGGCAAATAAGTGGCGTTTTTGCCATTTCCAGGCGTTGTATTTTAACAAACTCCTCCTAGGGATTTTATCCGATCAACACCAAAATTTGGTTTTGTCATCTAAAGGCCTTGGCGATGTTAAATTGCGAAGCTTTAGAGTTTTCATCGATGGGCGTGTCCGTGGCGGCCTTGCAAACTTTGACGATTCGCCACAAAACAGGAAGTCGTTTTAACTCAGGCATGCATTATCAGATCTGCCTCAAAATTTACACATTTGATAACAGTCCGGACCTGAATACGTTTATATGCTGATATCCAGATAGAGTTATAGCGCCACCTGCTGGCCACAGGAAATGACATGTTTTACATTGTAATATACTCCTTCCGCAAACTTTATTATATCAGCACCAAATTTGAGTGATGTTATTTGAAAGCTCTGGCGATGATATATTGTAAAGATCTAGAGATTTTGCAGAGGGGCCTGTCCGTGGCGGCATGACAAACCTCAACGCTTCGCCATGGAACAGGAAATGATTATAACTCAACCACAAAATGTCCGATCTGCCTGAACCTTCACAAGGTTGATCATATTCCTCTCCTTAACACATCCACATATCAATATTGAGTCTGTCATAGCGCCACCTGCTGGCAGAAGGTAGTTTGGCTTGTAACTCGGCCACACAATCTCTGATCTGCGTGAAACTTCACATGGTTGATAAAAGTCCTCTCCTGAACACATCCACATAACAATATTGAGTCAGTCATGGCGCCATGTGCTGGCAGAAGATAGTTTGGCTAATAACTCAGCCACACAAAGTCTGACCAGCCTGAAAATTTACATGGTTGATTAAAATCCTCTTCTGAAGACATCTACATGCCAATGTTGAGTCACAGTCATAGCGCCACCTGCTGGCAACAGAAAATTACATATAACTCAGCTAAACAATGTCCGATCTGGCTAAAAATTCAAATGGTTGATAAGATTCTTCTACCAAAGGCATCTACATGCAAATCTTGAGTCACAGTCATAGAGCCACCTGCTGACAAGAGGAAGTTTGCTGCTTGCAGCTTTAATTTTTTTTTTGGTATTGTAACGCAGTTCCTAGAGAAACAGAATATTCAATGAGCAAACAGTGGGCGTTGCTTGTTATTTCTACTAGATGTTTGATGTAGTAAAGTGGGTATTTAATTCAGAAAGATCAGAAAAAAGGGGAGAGTTATTACAATCTAACAGACACCTCCTCCACACCATTTATGTTTGTTTTCAAAACTGAAAGTTGGAGGGGCGTGACTAACATACTTAATACCTCAGACAGACGTAAACTGAGCATTTAACTGAAAAAATAGGAAGTGCATATTCAGATTTCAATTAAAGATCACAAGGGCAAACTTTTTTTTTTTTGATAAAATGCATAGATTAATTGTTCACCACAAAACTAGTAATGTGAGCTAACGAAATCAATATGGTTAGTTTATTTGAGAATAAGTCAATACTTTAAGAATGTTGTAGCTGAAGCCATCAATCTGACATCAACAGAGAGGGGCCAACACTCCAAACGCTGAAGCAAATGTTTAGATTTTGATTGAGGTCTAACCAAATATAAATATGTACAGTTGAAGTCAGAATTATTAGCCCCCTGAATTATTAGCCCCCTGTTCATATTTTCCCATTTTTTTTTAATGGAGAGCAGTTTTTTTAACACCTTTCTAATCATAATAGTTTTAATAACTCATTTCTAATAACTGATTTACTTTACTGATTTACAAATAACTGATTTATTTTATCTTTGCCATGATGACATATTCATGATGATTTATATTTTTTAAGTAACTTTTATAAAGCTTAAAGTGACATTTAAAGGCTTAACTAGGTTAATTAGGTTAACTGTGCAGGTTAGAGTAATTAGACAAATTATTGTATAACAATGGTTTGTTCCGTAGACTATCGGAAAAAAATATAGCTTCAAGGGGTTAATAATTTTGTCCTTAAAATGGTGTTTAAAAAATTAATAACTACTTTTATTCTAATAAAAATAAAACAAATAAGACTTTTTCCTAAAGAAAAAATATTATCAGACATACTGTGAAGATGTGTTTCTTTGTTAAACGTTGTTTGGGAAATATTTAAAAAATAAAAACACAAACAAAGGGGGAATAATAATTCATACATGTACTGTACATATACAGAATATTTTGTAAAATATAAATGTTCTATGGATGTTTTGTTTTTAAGATTGTAGAAGCTTTTATTTAAACAAAAACATTGAATTCCTTTTCATTACATTCGAATTATTCAAATGTTTCTCACACCATGAAAAATGGTTCTGCCAAGATCTCTTCACTAAAACATTCTTTGAGCAAACTAAAATACCTTTTCTATGGCATTGCTACAAAATCTCCCTTTTGAAACCATTATATTTAGGGAATACATTTATTATAAAGAGCTTTAATTTCATTTAGGTATTAGGACTGTGTTCATTTAGGTCTTAGATGTTTTGCACACAGAAAAAAGCACAGTGTTTACTGTAAATTCATGTAAATTCAATCTGTGACCTTTGTAGATTTGGTATCCAATGTCTCTGCATGTAAACTCCACATCACCGTGAAATTAATAAATACTTCAATTCAAATAAAAAAATAAAATAAAAAGTCCTTTAGCTAAATGATCAGTAAATTGATTTAGGTTGTAGGTAGGATTAGGGATGTAAAATAATAGCATGTTATTATAATAATAGCATAATATCCTAATAGCATAATATCCTAATAATAGGCAGGCAAAAAGCCATGCAGATAATATGAATTGTTATTTAAATAGTGTAACCAACCAAGCAAACAAACCAACAAAAAATCAAACAAACAAATAAACAAACAACCAAACAAACAAAAAGCAAACTAATAAATAAATAAATTAATTAATTAATAAATAAACAAACAAATAAATAAATAAATAAATGAATTAATGAACAAATAAATAAATAAATAAATAAATAAATAAATAAATAAATAAATAAATAAGGAGGCATGATGGCTCAGTGGTTAGCACTGTCACCTCATAGGAAGAAGGTTGCTGGCTCAATTCCTGGCTGTGCCAGTTGGCATTTCTGTGTGGAGTTGGTGTGTGTGTGTGTGTGTGTGTGTGTGTGTGTGTGTGTGTGTGTGTGTGTGTGTGTGTGTGTGTGTGTGTGTGTGTGTGAATGAGTGTGTATGGGTGTTTCCCAGTACCTGGTTGCGGGTGGAAGGGCATCCACTGCCTAAAACATATGCTGGCATAGCTGGCGTTCATTCTGCTGTGGCCACCTCTGATAAATATGAGACTAAACCGAAGAAAATGAATGTTTAAATAAATAAATGAACACATACATAATTATTTGATTAGATTTTTCCCTCTCTGTAAAAAATCTCTATCTTTTTTATTTAGGTGGAACATCAAACTCACCGTGCTGTGATCATTGATTTGGGACTGGCGAAATTCTCCCGCAATGGACTCTCATCCGCAGTAAACTTGGGGAACGAAGCGTACTCAGCTCCAGAGATCCTGCAGTTGAACGGAGTGCGTGACAAGCGCTCAGACGTTTGGGCCATGGGCAAAATCATAGCTGAACTCTGCGCCAGGATCAGATTGCCCACCCAATCTGTGTCAGTCCTCAAAATTCGTGAAACCCTCAAAGACCAGCCATACTGTACTCCAGTGTCCAGGATGGCGGAAGTCAACCCCAACTACAGAGCTTCTATGGCTGGAGTCATTGCAGAAATCAGGAGAGCTGGAGCCATTCAACAAATAGACGGCAGACCTAAAGACATTACAAGAGACATCCCAAGAGACATTACAAGAGACATCCCAAAAGACATTACAAGAGAGATCCCAAGAGATATTACAAGAGATTTTACTAGAGATATTACTAGAGACATTCCAAGAGAGATCCCAATGGCAAATCAGAAGTGGAGTCCTCTTCCTCCTAAGATGGAGTTAAATAAACCTAATTTGTATTATCGGCAGGACCCACCTCAGCAGAGAGATTTTGGAAAGGCATTGGTCCCGGGTAAAAATGAGGCGTTAAACAAGCAGTTCTCACTGATGTCCTTTCCATGTCCTCTCCCAGAAACTGGAAAAGTGACTCAGGAGCGCTACAATGAGGAGAAAGGAGCCCTAGAATATAAAGAGATCGTCACGAAGGGAGGAAAAATCGTCAAATATGAGAAAGTACAAATAACTAAATAGAGTTTGTGTTCCTGAAAAAGGTGGCTGTACAGTACATATTTTACAGTGGTGGTGCTTTAAAAAAAACTCCACATTGTGTTCTGGTTGGTTCATTTTTGGATTTGTAGTTTTAAAAGATTTTCAGAAATGTCCTAAGACAAAAAATGGGTGCTGTTCAACAGTTTTAGGACTGTTTCATGTTGATGAAAGGTTTTGATTCACTTTAAATGTTGACTTGCATCCCATTCACACGGGGCTTCAGCGTCAACGCTTGACAGAGGGCGTGTCTGAAGCTGGGGCTGACGCGATTGTCATAGCAGCGTCAGCCAATGAAAATCAGTCAGCAATAGGCCACTGTCTGAGCTGGTGTATTTGCATACAGCGATCTGATTGGCTGATGTTTTCGTCGGCGCTTGAAAAGTTGAGCAACTCCCAACTTCTGCCGCGAGCAACGCTTCTGAAGTAGCGCCGACAGATCCACAATGCAGTTCGGCAACTCATCCATTCAAAGTAAATGGGAAGTTTTGTTGCTGACGCCCCGTGTGAATTGGGTTATCATGTTTCATATCATTCGATGTTGATAATTAATTAATAAACCACTTTAATTCACCAACATTACTAAGGCAAATTGATTTATTAGTCAAAAACTAAAATATTTAAACAAAAATATCTGATCTCTTTATAATAAAACAAAAATAACTGTTAAAGAGACTCTTGATTCTGTTGACTCCGTAAACAACACAAATTATAATCAAATCTGAGCTTTCGAGTAAAGGAACCGACCATCAATGCATTTGAACATTAAAAATCGTGAAGTTGGATGACTATATCATCCCCTATGCTAAAAAATCTTTCAGATGTGGAGCTAGAGGCTGGGATGCACAAGAAAAGAAACCAAAAAGCCACTCTGGCGACATCCTTGTTGCAATTGGTTTCCTCAATTGGTTCAAGTTGACTTAATTTATTTAGTTTTTCAGTACTCAGTTTGAGTTTTCTTAATTTATTAGATTTTACTGTGGTCAAATTGCTTCATTTACTTAAATGGATTAAGTTCACAGTACTCATTAGGATTAGTTTTTGAACTTAAATGGTTTGTTGCAATCGGTTTCCTCAAATGGTTTGAGTTACCTTAACTTTTTGGGTTTTACAGTGTGGAAATGACACTTACACTCTAAGCTTATTGGCATTGCTTTCAAGGCGTGTGCTCAGCAGCCACATTTTCATAAAACTATAGCGCTTCATACCGAAACTAAATACCAAATCTTTTTTTAAATTGATATTGATGGTTTTCAGTCAATAAATATTCATGCCGATTTTATTGCCCAGCCCTATGTTGACTATTGTCATTTTGTGACTTTTTTCCCTTTAGGATTATTAAAATGCACATAAAGCACATACAGTTGAAACTAAGTTTACATACACTCTAAAAAAGGAACATAACCATTTTTTTTAAAACATGTCTGATGGTAAATCATATTGAACGTTTATTGTTTAGATCCGTTATGATTACTTAAATCATTTACATTTGCCAAATTCCAGAATAATGAGAAAATTTGTTTTTAAGATTTTTTTATTAAATTCTAGAAAGTCAAAAGTTGATATATTCAGTCATAATCATATCCTTGGTATTTTTTTAGCTTTGCTTTTTAACTGTATAACTTTGGTCAAATGTTTTGGGTTATCCTTCTACAAACTACTCACAATAGTTCTAAGGAATTTTGGCCCATGTCTTCTGACAGAACTGGTGTAACTGAGTCAGATTTGTAGGCTGTCTTGCGCGCACAAGCTTTTTCAACTCTGCCCACAAATTTTCTGTAGGATTGACATCAAGTCTTTGTGATGGCCACTCCAAACAAATTGGCAGTATGCTTAGGGTCATGGTTCATTTGAAAGACCCATTTGTGGCCAAGTTTTAATTTCCTGGCTGATGTCTTTAGATGTTGCTTCAGTATTTCTACATAATGTTCTTTCTTCATGATGCCATCTATGCTGTTAAGTGGACCAGTCCCTCCTGCAGCAAAACAGCCCCACAACATGATGCTGCCGCCCCCATACTTCACAGTTGGGATGGTGTTCCTAGGCTTGTAAGCTTTCCCCTTTGTCCTCCAAATGTAACACTGGTCATTATGGCCAAACAGTTCAATCTTAGTTCCATCATACCACAGGACATGTCTCCAACAATTATTCTATTTCCCAGTGTAATTTAGCAAACTTTAATCTGGCTTTTTTGTTGATTCTGGCTTGTTGATTTTCCCATCACGTCAAACAAGGAAGCAGTGTGTTTGAGGGTTTCTTTAAATACTATTCTACAGTTGTGCCTCCAAATAACTCAAATGTTGTCAATTAGCCAATCAGAAACTTTCAAAACCTTAACACCATCATCTGAGCTTTTTCAGAGGCTTAATAATCTTATCGTATGTAAACTTGACTTTCCAGAAAAGTAATAACAATTTCTTAACAAATCTCTCTCTCTCATTATTCTGCTATTAAGCATAACAAAAACTAATTTGATAATCCTAACTTACCTAAAAGAGAAAAAAGTTTAGTCGCATTATGTGCCTTTTTATACAGTGTATGTAAACTTCTGCTTTCAACTGTAAATAAAAACATTCTACAATATATATATATATATATATATATATATATATATATATATATATATATATATATATATATATATATATATATTAATCCTTTAATTTTACTGTTAAAGGCAGTGTCACAGAACCAAAAAGAAACAAAGAAATAAGCAAAAAAGCAAGTCTCTAACAGTGATTTAATTTATGCAATTTGGAAATGCTTTTTGCATGTTTATCTGCCTTGATTGTTTATATTGTTACAGTATACATCATGCTACATCTAAATCTCAGACTTTATTACACACTTTAAGCCCTTTTTCACACTTTCTTAGTAATAATATAAATTAACAAAGGGGTTTTAAAGATGCTGTTAAATGCATTGTTTGTTTTTGTGTGAGAACTATTCATGAAATGTTAAAGGATTACTGTTCTTATCAGGTTTTGTATTGCTTTGTTATTATTTTTGGCAATTTACACTGAATCAAATGCAGCTCAATTTGACTCAAAGCATGAAAGTTACCTGAATTCTGAACAACTGTCAAAGTAAAGAGGTTGACACTGTCAGAGTTCAATTGCTCTTGATATTTGAGTTATGTCACTAGTTAAAACTCTGTGATGTAAAATAATTGATGTAAAATACAAATCAATGACATGTTTGAAACACTGTTTTCTTTTATTGAAGATGCTCATGCAGGTTGATAAACCTTACTCTACAGATATCAACAAGACTGACAAAACTAAAAGTGCATATTCTACATTCACAAGAGGACTAACATTACTGTAAATAATGCATACCTCTGGTGCACACACACACATACAGTGCTCAGCATATATAAGTACACCCCTCACAAATCTATCTTTTAAATTCATATTTTTAATAGGAACCTATACAAAATTATATTTGTGCATATACATTAGATTAGTCAGTACTGAAGCCAAATCTGGAGCTCAACTAACCAAATAACTTACGATAACGCTTCAAAAACTAGCAGCCCAAATGTATATGTTATTGAAAAATATTAAATACAAATTTAAGAGAAGCAAAAGAACCAAAAGCATTGAAAAATTTAGTTGATATTTTGTAGGTTGTATTTTTTTGTGTGATCCTTGTCTCCAGTTTGTTTACCCTCGGGTTTCTACTGTCTCCACACTGCCAAAACATACCTGCACCCAATCAGCACTAAGGGTGTGGTATGCTGTCACACACTACATCATTGGTCTTGACGTGTGCTCAAGGAAAATCAAGAACAGTAGGGACTGCATTTTTTGAAATTCAGCAGAGCGTAGGAAGCTCTGATGAACAGGTGTGTTATAAACTATAAATCTGTGACTGAACAAACAAAACACACACACACACACACACACACACACACATATATATATATATATATATATATATATATATATATATATATATATATATA